CATAAAAGGTATTTTTAAAAGCCTGTCTTGAATTTAAGTTGGAAAACATCAACCAAAACCTGATTTTTTTTTACCCTAAAAATATGGAGAAACTGGGAGTCTTTGTTTTTACAAAAAGTTTATTTTGAGACTTTGAATTGAGACTATTAAATTCTAAAATAGATAACATTTGTTAGTTAAGTCCTTGGTTATTTGGATTTCCCCAGTTTGGAATGGGGCTGGGTTGACATTTAATCATTGCACTATTCTTAGGGGAAAATGGCCATAATAAGCAATTTAATCATAAATAGAATCGTGTGAAGGAACTGTTGTCCTATTTCAATACAGTGTAATAAAGTTAACTGCTTTGGACTGTTCTTTGATGTACCAATTTAAATATTATTCTCATTTAAGTTAGGAGACATTTATTAGGGAGCATTTAATTTCTTTTTACGTTGATGTATTCTTGAAATTTGTACTCATTTAAAGACATTCTCTAATTTAAATTTTACTAATTGAAGCAGGCCTTTACTCTTGCCCACCCTTAGTCTCTCTAAATTAATAAGATCACATTATGTTAAATGCAGAGCTTCATCACAAAATCAAGGCTATTAAAACTTAGCAGAATCATTACGGTGTTTATAATGAAGTAGGAATAAATGTTGTAAACAGTTTGGGTTTATTTAATGAATAAAGAATGACGTTTTCATTCATACGATTGCAATGCTCCTTTTATTCTGTAATAGGAAATAATCTTTGGTGTCTTCAACAACAGTGCTATGCTAGACACAGGGAGTTGTTTTACAATACATCTTGACCTTTTGTGGTCCAGCTCAGGGAGCAAGACCATTAAGTGTGAAACTGTTAGAGTTTAGCACAAAATCAGGGGCTGAATTGTGATGACAACAACAAGTGGACCACAAGCCGGACAGAGTAAAGCCTAAGTGGGCAATGAGCATGACCCCTGTTAAGTTTCTCATTTACTCAGTGTTACCAGAGCAGGTTCACGTTCTCACTGATAACACTGGTGGTGGTAGCTCCATCTTAGAGATGAAAAGATCACTCTACTCAAAGCTACAGCTCAGTGAAACGCCTTTCTGAGACTAAATTTTTAAGAAACTTGGAGATTGTGATGCTAATCCAAATATAAATTTAAAGGTAGCAACAGCTGAAGTGGATTGATGTAAAAAAAAAAAAAAACGTGAAAGGAAAAATGGAATAGTCTCTCACCTGTTCTCCATCATGAGAGAGACTCACTTCCAACTCTCTTTAGAAGTGCTCTAAACTTTCCTTTGTTCTTAAACAAAATTTCTCTTTGTTACATTAAAAAAAAAGAAAAGAAAAACATGCGAAACTTACTAAATGTAGAATATAAATGTCTTAACACAATAACTAAGAAGATGCCATGAAGGCTATGTTAACCAGTTTGATGAAAATA